GGGGGCGGGGGGGGGGCGGCGGTAGACGGGCGGCGAAAAATACAGCCTGGGAAAGACTGCCAGACTGAGAACGCCAGTCACTTTTGGGCCCCTGCGGCCACCGTCGCTTCCTCCTGAGCCGTACAAGGCACCGCCCCCTTCTGCGTGCGGCCGGAAGGAAGGTGAAAGCCGGTCACCTCTGAGGAGCCGGTTGCGGATTGGAGTGCGAGTTACGGTTCGGAGTGCGAGTTACGGTTCGGAGATGTGGTTCGAGATTCTGCCTGGCCTCGCCATTATGGGCGTGTGCTTGACCATCCCCGGGGTGGCCACTGCATACATCCACAAGTTTTCCAACGGGGGCAAGGTAAGGCGGCCGCGGCCGGGTTCTGTGGACCATGGGACTACGGTGGCCCTTTGGATGCGCTGCCGCTCCGCTCTGTCCTCCTTTGAGTCTTGCCTGAAAGCGGAGACTCGGCGGACTCCACATTTTCCTTTAGCAGAATATAGCGAGGTTTTGGTTGAGGAAGAGTGGCCCAAAAGGCAAGCGATGCGTTTGGCAGTTAGCAAGGTAGCGTACAAGAGCCGGGCCCCACTGCCTAGACCGAGGATAGAGGAGGTAGTTGTGTCCTTCCCATCATTCATCTCCTTGTGGAAACCGATTGGGTGACTGTTTGTGCACGCGAGCGTAGGTGCCTGCGGAGATCCGAAGAGGGCACCGGGTCGCTTGGATCTGAAGTTGCAGGAGGGTAGGAGCCAGCAGCAGTGGGTGCCAGGAATCGGACTCAAGTCCTCTGCGGGAGCAACTGGCACTCTGGACCAATAAGCAATCTCTCCATTCCTGGTCGTTTTTCTTTTTACGTGTTTGTTTGTTGGGGGGGGGGGGGTAGGCGTGTCAGGCGCACCTGCGGACAGCAGAATTCAGCGTGCCAGAATTGCGTTTCTCCCTCCATCATGTGGGTCCAGGGGATACAGCCCAGGTCCGCAGGCTTAGGGCAAGGGCCTTTACCCGTTAAGCTGTCCGACACCTTCCCTCTGTTGGCTTAATTTCCCACATTCACGTTTCCGTAGCTGTGTGTTCTGTATCCTTAATCAATCCTGCCTCCTTTTCTGCTTCCCACTTGAATGTGTAAGCCTTAAGGAACTCACGTTGTGGCTTTCGTTTTCCCTCTTCCTAGGTCTCCCCAGCGACCTTAGAGTACTGTCAGATTATAATTGGAGTTCTGTTTTGGTTTGGACTTTTCTTTCAGGTGTACTCTAACCTTTATTGTTTGTTAGAGTCACAAAGCAACAGCTAGATTTTTTTTTCTTTCCTTCATTTTTCGCATTCTCTACGACGTGGCTTGCTTGGATTTGAACTTGTGGGTCCTCCTGCTCTTACCTCCAGAGTTTTGGCATTACAGGCATGACCCACCTCACCAGAAAGCTAATTCAAGTCTTCAGGCTGGGCAACAAGTACTTTTCCCTGCTGAGCCATCTCACTGGCTCAGCAGCAAAACAAAATGGCTGGGCTTGGTGGCTCTAGCCTGTAATCTAGCACTCAGGAAGCTTGGGCAAGGAGATTGAGGAAGACTGGAGGTCAACCTGGGACTAGATAGTGAGTTCCAGGAGAGCCTGGAACACAATGAGGTCCTGCCCCCCCCCCAAAAAAAAAAGAGAGAGAGAGAGAGAAAAACAAAGAAGAAAGAAAATCAGTGCCCCCCCAAAAAGGAAGAGGAAGTTTAAGAAGTCAGTTACCAACTTAATCCTAAATATTAATGGGATTGATAGTCTGGTTTTATTTAGGAGGTTTGGCTCTATGTTGTCCACTTAGCTTTTGTTTCAGCAATGATTCTAGTTTTCTAGCGAATTATTTCTTTTTGTAGAAATGTATTTTATTATTACTATTTGCATGTATGTGTGTCTGCTTCTGTCTGTGTGCACCATGAAGAGTAGAAGAGGGTATCAAGTCTCTTCTGGAATGGAGTTCAAGGCAGTTAGGAGTCTCCTCCTGTCTCCCCCCCCAAACAAAACAAAACATGTTGGTATTGAGAAACCAATTGAGAACCCAGAGATAACAAGTGCTCTTAACCACAGAGCCACCTCTTCAACCCCTACTTTGTCACTGAAGAAAAATTGGAGCTTTATCTTTTTACTGGGTCACCCATATTTATAAACTGCATTGTCCTTTACTTGAAGGAAAAAAGAGTTGGTCGCTTTCGTTACCAATGGTATTTGATGGAAAGAGATAGACGTGTCTCTGGAGTCAACCGCTACTATGTGTCCAAGGTAAGATGGCTGAAAGATTGCAGTGTGTTCTGGTACTTCCTTGCCTAAGTTCATACGGTACTCATTTAATTGGCATGTTTTTTTCTAGTGAAGTATGCAGTCTTTTATACATAAAATGGTCTTTGTTGGTGTGTTGTGTGTGTGTGTGTGGTGTGCATTTGTACATGTGTGGGTACACTTCCCCTGAATGTGTACGTGGACGACACTCTCCCATTTATTTACTTGCTTGTTTGTTGTTTGTTTCTTTTTTAGGCAGGGTCTGAATATGTAGCTTTGGCTTGCCTTGAACCTGCTCTGTAGACCAGGCTGGCTGAACTCACAGATTGACCTACCTCTCTCTCCTGAGTGCTGAGATAAAATGTGTGTAGTAGCAGGCCTGGCTATTTATTTATTTGAAATTTCTCTTCCTTTTGTGTGTGTGCCATGGTGCATATGTGGAGGTCAGAGGACAGCTTGTGGGAGTCAGCTCTCTCCCTTCACCATGTAGGTTCCAGGGATCAAATTCAGCTCCTCAGTCTTGGTGTCAGGCACTTTTACTCATGGAAGCATCTTGCCAGCCCTTTTAAACCTTGTTTAAAGAATTGATATAGCTGTCATGGTGGCACATGCTTGTAATCCTAGCCCCTGGGAGGCTGAGGCAGGGAAAATCTATGAGTTTGATACTAACTTGTACTACATAGAAAGATCTTACTCATAAAACATAGAAAAGAATATAATTTTATGCATAATTGGGTTTTAAGAAACTGTTATTTTTATAGATCAAAAATAGCCAAGTAGCATTTTAATATTACTCAGATTAATGCTATATTTTCCTAACTTGTAAGATAATTTTTTCTTAATTACTTTAATTTTATTTGTTTGTGTGTTGTGTGTGCGTGCATGTGTTTGTGTGTGAATGCAGGTTGCATGTGGAGGTCAGAGGACAATCTGGAGGCAATCAGTTCTCTCCTGCAACCTTGTGGGATCCAGGAATTCAACTCAGGTTGACAGGTTTGCATGCAGGTGCTTCTCACCCTCATAGTTCTTTCAGTTTCTTAAATCACTTTGTATTTGCCCCTAGCTCACAGATTCCCCACAATGAACTTAGGTAAATTTTGTGTTCATTTTATAGATGAGAAAGCATGGTTAGAATGAGTAAAAAAGTATTGCAGGGCTCAGTTTGATGCTGGCTGAGAATCAACTCTCATGGACGAGAAGGTAGTTAGTAAGTCCATGCTTTGGTGTTCAGTGGTTTCATTTCCCCTGACTATGTTCTTTTCATACCTGGAAGGAATGCCATTACTTATCTCTAGTAGAGTCTTAAGCATTGTGAATTATTTTTTTTTTGGTTTTGATACTGCTTTTCTTTGGAAGCAGACACTTGCTACATAGCTCTGGCTGGTCTGGAGCTTGCTGTGTAGCCTAGAGTAAACTTGAACTCAGAGCAAATTTCCTGCCTTTCCCTCCCCGAGTGCTGGGATTGCGATTACAGATATATGATACTATGCCCTCTTTAGAAGGTCTGCATATTTATGGAGCAAAGGTTTTAGAGTTAGGGTCATTGTACTTGAATTTTGGCTCTGCTATTATTTGACTGACTTAAAGAAGTGGTTTTTGTTTTCTTGAGGCAGAATCGGGTGATTTCTAACTTCTTTGAGTTTCTGCTACATCGTTTATGAAGAGTTTGAATGAGGATAACAGTATTTGCCTTGTGTTTGGTGCTGTTTTGTGAGACAGTGTACTGGTCCTCTAATTTATGGAGGGGCCTGTGTATGAGGATCCAGGAAGTGAATAGTTGCTTGACTGTAATTCTAGTTAGGGTGAAGAAAAGGGCTTTTCATATATATAATATGTTTGCTGCTGTCAGAAAATGAAGTGAACGAGGTATAGTGTGCACTCTACAATCCTAGCATTTGAGAGGTGGAAGCAGGCGGATCAGGAGTTTACCTTTGGTTACATAGGGAGTTTAAGATGAACTCCTTTGGATTACATGAGACCTTGTCCAAAAAAAGAGAGAGAAAAGGCCAGACATGGTGTGGTGGCACACAACTTTAATCCCAGCACTCGGGAGGCAGAGGCAGGCGGATCTCTGTGAGTTCGAGGCCAGCCTGGTCTACAAGAGCTAGTTCCAGGATAGGCTCCAAAACCACAGAGAAACCTTGTCTCGAAAAAAGAAAAAAGAAAAAAAAAAGGATTATGAAATCCAATTCAGCTTCTATTGTTGCAGTTAGAGAAATGTGGGGTGGGAAATCACTTGCTTTACTGACAGTGTCATTCTGTGACACTGGAAATCAACAGCATGGTACATTTCTCATGGGAACAGGATCCTCACATTCTCCTTTTCCAACTGTTTTCCAGGGCTTGGAGAACATTGATTAAGGAAGCATTTTCCTGGCTGATGAAAGAAATTACTCAGCTATGATCATCTGTTCTTGCTAAAAGGCAAATGCAGCATATTATATACTATGCGCAAGTTATATAATGCCGAATAAAAAATTTAAAAAAAAATCTAAAGTCAATTTTCCTTCTTACGAAGTAAAGTTGGAGTTTACTAAAGCTATTTTCATACAGGCATAAGCGTGGGGGTTGAGAGAGAAGTAGAAGCACTCTGAAGAAACTAAGATGTATCTAAACACACAGTTTAGAGTGTGGGTGTGGCTTCTTGGAGAGTCTCCTTTTTCTTTTACAGTGATGAGGTTTTGGTAGGTGCTATGA